AGCACATTCAGTTGTAACCTGAGGACGTGGGCACACCAAGGAATGCAAGCGCATAGAACAAATGATTCAAACAGACAAACACACAGGACAAAATCCCGGGAAAGATAATATAGTTTTCCTCCGACTTCTGCCAATTCAAATTGGAGACTGGCTTGAAACAGAACAAACAAAAAGCTGAATTCTTTCTCAGCACTTGCCAGAAAGACTAACATGCCCCTCACTCAGCTCCCACTGGGAGGGTGAAGGCTGCACTGCGCCTGCAGCATGCTGCTTCATGCCCCTCTCCCGGCTCCTGGAGAGGGCAGAAACCAAAACTGCCACCCATGTCTGGGGACCTAACAAACTGGAGAGCTAGCAACAAGAGCTCTCTCCCAAGCAAGCTCAGCCTCCTGAAAGATTGGAAGCCAATTAAAATCTTACCCAGTCAGAGGTTTAGAACTCTGTCTGTCCTTCGTGGCCACAGCCTCCAGGTCTCAGCCTCCCCTGGATGGTGAGAGCTGAACTCTGCTGGGGCGCCCAGCCATTCAGGAAAGAGGTAGGGGATCCGGAGTCTGGGGGCCCCTCAAAAGAGGATCTGTCTGCAGAATATCCCGGACGAGCCCCCAAATGTTACAGCAAAAATTCGAGCTGTATTCTGCAAGAGACCAAAGAGAACAGACAAAGTTTTAATTTAGACCTGTCACCTCTCGTCACCACTTGCAAGTCAGGGAAGTGGCTGTGGACTTTCCTTTGTTCCCAGCTTATATACATTGTTGGTTTCCATGGTAACAGATTGGAATGTTGTAGCCCTGGCCACAAGTTGTTCTCCTTGTGCCACATGAGCGGGTCAGGCTCTGGTCATGAGCCCAACGACAATGATATATGCTTTCTGTACTCTGTTCTATATGTCCCCCTTTAGATAACCATACATTTCCTTTATGGTTACAATATTTATCTAGGGCCAGGGAAGGGATGAAACAACCCATGCAGGGTCATAGGTGGTTATCTGGGCCTGAGTGTTCTCTGTCTTTGGAAAAGCATTCCAGGGCTAAGTCAGGACTGCAAAGTTAACTCTTTACAATCCTCTGGGATGTTCCTCAAGACACATTTTGAGGCTTGCATTAAGACCACAATTAGTCTATCTTGAAATGATATGCTAAGAGTCATCGTCCCCTACAATCTTATGTACGTATGTTTGCGCATTTGTACATTGTATTCCGATGCTACTAAGAAAGGCACATAGAGAGTTCTGGTTGATAACTCTTTCTAAATTCAAGGCTTTTTTGTTTGGATGAAGTTGGGAGAGGATGTGTGTAATAAAATTACCAGGCCAGAATACACGTCTTTTGTGTGCTTCTGGTCCAATGACAACCAGCATTCATTCCTTATATAAATCACTTACTCAATACTTATTGAACATTATCATGTAGTAGCATAATTGGCAATAAAATCCTTGCCATCCATGAACCAAATTCTATATCTTTTTCTCCCCCACCCCTGCACTTGTCTATATGCACATGTGTTTAGAAAACATGTACTTATAAAGTTAAAAAACACATAATGAATCTACATCAAATAGTTTGAGGGCAGAGAACAGTGCAGAGAGTCTGGACCTTAACACTGGATTTGTAGGGAAAGTGTGAATGAGAAGATACTTGAGCACAAACCTGAGGTAAAGTAAGGGAGTAAAAATGTTTAGATTTGGGGATAAAAGATTCAGAGCAAGGGGAAGAGCAAGTGCAAAGGCCCTGTGCTGAGAGTGAATTTGGCCTGATGGATGAATAGCAAGGGGGCTATGTGGGTGGCAGAGGAGTGTGGTGAGGAAAGAAATGAGATTGGGCCTTGGGCTTGGCCCATGTGGTGAACGAGGAGGCTTCTCAGTAGGTGAAGTCAAGCCCCGTTTCTGCTTAGGAACCTCAGTGGCTGCTGTTACTTGTGAAGTGAAGGTGGAATATCCTGCATGACCTGGCCTGTGCCTCAGCCTCATGAGGAACCTTGTCCTCCCCTAGTCTCCCTGTCCCAGCTCTTCTGGTTCTGGTCTCTGGCCATTCTTCACATCACAGGGTCTTCACGTGTTCCAGTCTACTGCCGGGAGGGGAGGGCTGGAGAAATGTCTTTGAAGCGTGACCCACTGTATTTTAGCTTCATTATCAATTATTCAGAGACTTTCTGACCTTTCCATCACCTCTGATATAAGGACTCACAGAGCCATAAACCCCTTCTTCATGACAGGGCAGCATTTTGATTTTAGAGTTTTTGTGCAATTATTTAATTTTCTGCTACCAAATTATAAGTTCCACAGGCTAGAAACTGGGGGGATTTTTTTCTTTCCATGTTATCATCAATACTTGGTGTGGTATCTGCCACATAGTAGTTCCTTAGCAAATATTTCAATAGTTGATTTTTTAAAATTTCAACCTCTTTGTACTTTTAAAAACATTCACCTTCTCTTTTAATATCTATTAATGCATTTTACTTTGTTCTATTTATTTGTTACTCCCCGCCCCATCTTACTCTGAAGAGCCTTACTGCCAAATTCAAGATTCTGAATGGGAGTGAATATTTCCTAATGGGTAAAGAATGATGGGAAAAGGGGGGTAGTGCCATTCAGTATCATGTTGCTGTTCCAGCTGAAATCGAAGATCCCCTTCATAAGCGAGAATAGTGTGACTATTTCATCTTCCTTAACATGAAGACCTGTATCAAACACTGCAGCATGAGTATTTTTCCATTTCATTTCTTTTGTTCTGCGTGTGGTTTTGCTGAGTCCATCCATCATTAACATTTATAATTTAGCATTGTTTTCCAGCACAGTGTGGTGTTATCTGTACCACTGACAGATTTGTCTCAGTCTTGGTCTTGGGTCTTTCAGCTCTCTGCTTCTTTGGATTTTGCTTATCCACACATTTCATTTGTCACCCTTCCTGCCATTGTGATCACGTTTGTCTTTACCCTCAGTCCTGAGTTCCTATGTTCTATCTTAATCTCACTAGAGGGGCTTGTTCCTGCTATTTTTATTTGTCACGATATCCATTTTAGTAGCAGATGTTGTCAGAACATCCCCTTTACTCCCATTATTGGTGTCACTTGGGCATTTGGTGTTGAGTCTTATGCACTATTCTGGGTCTTTTTTTGGATACTTGTCTGTCTGTTTCATTTAAAAAATCATATCGGATCCTTTTTCTCCCACTAGTGCATAGTTGTGATTCATTGATTTCTTCTTGCTGATTTTGAACGTGGTTGGCTTGTTTTGCCTCTGAAACAAGCATTTGTGGAGGGCCGGATCAGTGGTACCACAGAAGTGAATGCATTTTATAAATGTTTGCTCTGGCATGTGTGTGTTCATAGAGCCGATCATCAGTGTGTGCTTTTGATCATGAGATGATAGTATGTTCCTTTACTGGAGCTCAGTTTATGCTTTTACCTCCATTTTAATATATCCTACCTGATGAAATATTTTTTAGCAGTTCAAAGTTACTGTGTTTCTATAGTGAGCAAAATATTAAAGGAAAGATTACACTTATCTTTGCTTCTCCTCAGTGATAGATTATTGAAGCAAAGCTAAAGAAATTTATTCTCAAATAAATTGATAGATTGGAAAAGCATACTATGTAACATTTAGCAAAAAAAAAATGAGCGGAAACGGAGAAGTGCAGACAGCAAAAATAAAGAAAATTTGTTTGACAGTGGTGTGTGTAATAATATTAGCCTCTTAGAAGTAAGTATCTAATGTTTGCAACAACTCCTCAAGTAACTTAAAATAACTCAGAGTAGGCGGGGAAAATTTGGCTTACTAAAAGATAATTAAGAAATCTATTGCTTGGGAGATAAGAGTATTCTTTCTGAGAAATAGCTACAGCTTTTTAAAAGTTTGGATTCAATCTATAATATGTGAAAATGAGGAGAATATATAAGCAAGTCTAATCCTAGGAATCCAGTAATTGTATGAAAAGTTTTATGTGCAATCAACTGTTTTAGAACTAAATTTTACTGGGATCCACATTCTCTCTTTGCCCCATGACTTTAAGAATTGATTTTAAGTTGGTATTTTTGCTTTTATTAGCTTTATTGTTTTCTGATGAAAAAGTTAGGATATTAGTCAGCTGGAGGAAAAATCCAGTGTCACTGTGGAATCTCAGAAGTCAAGAAATTTACAAAAAATTAGATGTTCGAAGATTATTAAACACAGATGATATGCCCTCCATGTTTCAGTATCTGCCTTCCATTTCTGCTTTTTACAAAGTTTATTCTATTGGAGAAGTTCCTTCACATTCACTTGAAGAAGTTGTTATTATTTTTTAGAGGGAAAGAGATGTTTCTTGGAGTCTAGATTTCCCATAACTAGAAGCACCAGCAATTAGGCTCTTAGAGTGAAAAAAAGAACAGACTCAGTATTTATCTTGTGAAGGAATAAGACACTCAACAGCAGTATGTACAGGTGAATGTTTCATCTATTTATTAAATATCCATTCAAAAGTCTACTTGCTTATACCTATTTTTCCCATGTTGGATCTCTGGATTTTAGTGTCTAGCTTTCTCATAAGAGTTTTCATAGCATCATGGTTATTTGCACGTCTTCTACTACTCTTTTTATAAGCTTCTTATAAAAATTCAATGTGATAAATATTTGTAGTGATACTCTTTGTGTGAATTGCTGGTTCACAGTTATCTCCCCTTTGCTGGGAAAAATGTGAGCTTTTGGTAACCATATCTGTTCTCTTGATGTTAAATTTATGACCATAGTTTGTTGACCCAGTAGTTGGATATGATTGAAACAAGGTTAATCAGATTTTCATCTTTTATGAACTAGAATTTTATGTGTTAGTCTATTTTCTACTGCTATGATAAAATATCCAAGGCCAACTACTTTCTAAAGCAAAAGGTTTAGACACCTTACAGTTTTGAGGCTTAAAGTCTAAGATTCAGCTGCCCATTCATTTGGCTTCCAGTGAGAATCCTCTTTGCTACATGATGTCATAGTGGATAGCACCACAATGGTAAGTGTGTGTGGGAGAGGGAGACATCACATGGTGACAAAAAGTCAGAGGGACCAGAGTTGCTGTTTTACAACACCTCACAAAGCAGGGAGTACTATGAACCAGGGACCTTGAACCAGGAAGCACTAATGTTCATTTCCTGTGAGGACCCTGACCTAAACACCTCTCAGCTGTCGCCACCTCTTAAAGATTTCACACCAGCTCTGAGCAACTGATTTGAAGGTAACCGTATGCAGTGGAATTACAATGGTGAACTCCTACCATCTTGTCTAGTGATACTCTGTGTTATCTCTAATGTTTTATTGAAGAATTATTTTCTTATTCTCTTTAATGGGCTGAGCAATCTTTCATTCTTACATCTGATAATCTGAGCAATGTATTTGAGGATAGTGATATGCAATGTAATAACCACTGTTGATTTGTATAAATTTGTTTTGAGACCCTGTATTACTTTGAATGCTTTGCTTTGATTTGTTTATGTTTGTGATACTGGTACGCAGCTACTGTTCTATTTTTTGTTTGTTTGTTTCTCATGTACTACACTCTTTAAAATAAAAAAAGATTTCCCACCACCTTCCTTATATTTTAATATCAGGAAACAAACTGGCAACACATAAATCTTTGAAGAATGCACTCAAACCATACTGCTTGGGACAGAGAAACACAAGTAGACTAAGAATTGTTAGAACTGAGTCATATTAATGACAGTCAACAGAAAGTTTTCTTTAATTTTCTCAACAAGTATACAACAAAAGCCTCATATTTTTAAGTGCTAAGCTAAAGGCAAGAAATAAAGGACAATGAAATTAGACATAATATCCATTTTCAAGCAATTTATACAATACTGAGAAATTTGAGTGCTAGAGAAAGACTAATCAAACACTTGAATAAAACTATGAACTGATATAAATAAAGAAATGGAATATAGTTCTATGATAACAAATAACTGTATGTAAGGCAAAGATTTCAGGTTGGAAAGACTTGTACAAAGCAGTAAAATTTGTTTTATTATAGGAACATTTACTGTATTAAAAGCACATTACACAGACGGAAAGAGTGTTTTTGGTTAAGGAAGACATTTCAGGGAGAAAAACAACAGGACAGGCCCTAGGGTACAGCAGGGACGGTGTAGTAGTGTGCCTCGAGACGGAGAGCTGCGCAGTGGAAGGTGAAGGTGAGCTGATTTCCTCCTTATATGGAAATTCCTTTTTTTTTTTTTTTGGTTTTTCTCCTGTACCGGGAACCAAACTCACGACCTTGTGCTTGCCAGGCAGGCGCTTTTGACGCTGAGCTAAATCCCCCGCCCTCTGATTTCCTCCTTATAAAAGTGATGGCGTCCAGCTGAAGGATTTTTATCAGATGTCTAACACGATCGGATTTATGGGCAAATTTAGTCACAGGGAAAAAGGGGAGAGAGACCATTCTAGATATTCAGCGAACAAAGTAAAAAAAATGATAAATTCACTAGATTATAGAATAAAAGAGCAAATTGGTATGGAACAACGTACGATTTTTATGTGCCCATTTGAGGCAGATCTGACGGCAATGGAATTCGTTTCTGGTATAGGTGATTTGTTATGTCAACTCTGCTCGTTCATATGAGACTAGCAAATGATGGTGGTCAAGGCTTCTTAATTTCCTAGTCTCCAGATGAAATTCATGAATTATGAAGGGACCCACGGTGAAGCAGAGCGCCATCTGGTGAACATTTACGTAAATAGCAGGTACCTATTCCCAGAGGACAGATACAAAACCTAACGCTTAACAGAAAATGGTTAAATTCCATTGAACATTTGAATAAAGCATCACACGTAATACACTTGACATCATACTGGAATTTAAATCACAGTATAATAATACTGAGTATAAAAGGCGTGTACACTTGAATGTCATACTATTAAAATAAAATATGTTAATGACTTTTATGTCCTGTTCTTCCACCCACACATATACAGGCGTATCTTAATTCAGGTGAAAATTTGGAGTCAGTTCTGCTATAAGAGTTTTTTCTTTCTTTTTAACAAGTCAGTTATAGTTCCCAAATGAGCTTTTCTCTCTCTCCTCTCTTACTCATCCCCTTCGCCTATTCCTCCTCCTCTCTCTCCTCTTCTCCTTCTCTTCCTCCACCTCCTCCTCCATCTCCTCCTTCATCTCCTTTCCACTTACTTCTCCATCTCCTCCACATGCTCCTCCACCTCTACTTCCTCCTTCACCTCTTCCTCCAACTCTTTCTCCTGGACCTACTCCTGCCCTTCCTTTTCCTTCTCCCCTCCTCCTCCTCCTCCTCCTATTCTCTCTCTCTGTCTCTCTCTCTGTCTGTCTCTCTCTCTCTCTCTTTCTTTCTCAGTTCCTGCTGGGTATGGGATCCAAAGCCCTTTCAGGTCAAACAAGCACTCTGCCATGGCACTGCATCTCCACTCTTTTCAAATTTGTTTTATTTTGAGACAAAAATCTCAATAAGTTGCCCAAGCTGGCCTGGAATCTGTGAAGTTCCTGCCTTAGCTGAGTTAAATTTTTTCAGTGTCAGCTAGGTTTAAAAAATCAAATGTTCTTTGAACAATTTGTTCATCCATTCTAGCCACTTAATAATCATAGTTATACTTGAGCACTTGCTATGGTATGGCTCTGTTCCACTGATAATGTGACAGTGAAAAAGTGTGAGAACTCATTATTATGGGATTTCCCAGAGAGGAGACAGCAAATGGCAAGTAAAATATATACTATCCCACAAAAGCTTAAGTGCTGAAAGGTAAAATTAGATAAAGAGGATAAGTAGTGGCAGAGAGGCAGGGTGTTGTCATTTTACACGTATGTCAGATTTCATTTAAGAGAAACTTCAAATAAGTAAAAGAACAGTGTAAAGAAACATATATGTGTGTGTAAGAAGCATATCTACAATACAATTATATTCACAGTCATATAACAATTATTATGTAATATATAATTATATAGGAATATGTATAATTATGAAAGGAGATTTATTAAATAGGCTTATAAGCTTTAAAGGAGGGGAGGCAATGATGGAAGATTCAGTAATTTCTCAGTCCAAGAAGCAGGAGTGTTCAGAACATGGTGAAGGATATAGCTATAAGTCTGAGGCTTATGGTGCAAAAGCTCCAGGGAGAGTCACTGGTATGCATCTCATTGAAAAGCTGAAGAAAATGGAGTCAGTTGTTCGCAGGCAATGGCAGCAGCAACAGATGCACCAGCTCAAGCAAATCCAAGTTCTTACTGCAGGACAGCTTCTTCCTGCTTCCCCTTTCATTGCATCCAGGGTGCAAACCTACTGGATGATGCCACCCCCACATGGTCAGGGCAGGCATTTCTCCCTCAATTTGCTAACCGACCTGAAAATCATCTGCAACCCAGGTTTGGCCCTTCCACAACCCCGGTGAACACCTACTATTGTAAAGTGCCGTTGAGCTATAAACCAAGTTCTTTCCAAAATTTTAAATTTTGAGGCAATGCCTTAATAAATGAGACACTTCACAGACACCCCAAAGGTGTGCTCTAGTAATCTCCTAGGTGTTTAAAACCAATCAAGTTTACAATAAAGATCAACTGTAACATTTTAAAGTAGCATCTCATGCAGAAGGACAGCAAGTACAAAGGCCTTAAAGTTGGAAAGAGCCTAGTTGTGGTGGTGCAAGCATACGAGAGGAGGCCTCACAGGAGAGGAAGCTGGAGGGCGGAGGTCATGGTAATTTTTGTGTTTTATTTTGGAGAAATTTTGGAAACGGAGTTGTCTAAGAAGACACAGCTACAACCATCAACCTTTTAATAGATATTTTCAACATTTAAAATATTGGAAAGAACTTGGTTTAATTTTGGAAGAACTTGTACAGAGATGTGTTCAAGTCTCAGGCCCTGTTATCGGGGTCTGGGATGTTACCTGGAAACGGGATTTTGCAGAAGTAAACAGATGTGGTCACACCAGGTGGGGATGGACCCTGCTCTAATGACTCATGTCTTTATATGAATACCTTATGAGGATACAGAAGCAGACACAGAGAGCAATACCATGTGAGGACAGAGATGGCAGTGATTCATCTACAAGCCAAAGAGCACCAAGGATTGCTTCTACAGAGTAGAAGCTTAGAGAGTGATTCAGAAAGATTCTCCCTCAAGCCTGTGGGAGGTATCAGTCCCCCTGACAGCTTGAGTTGAGACTTCTACCTCCATAACGTGCATTTCCGGTGCTTAAGCCATCAGTTGGCAGCACTTTGCTATGGCCACCTTAAGAAACCGGTGCATCCAAGGACCGAAGGGTACTGGACCTATGTAGTGTTTCTCTTTAGTGGTGCAGAGACCTGTGGAGTAAAGTGGGTAAAAAATTCCCAGTCAGGGAAAAAACAGAAGTATTCAGCCCATCTTATAGGCTGAAAATTAATGATTTTATCTCAGTAACCAATGTTTCAGCCAGAGAATAAGCAGCCTAAAAGACTGGTTTTGCATGTATGTGTAGGGGGTGCATAGTAAGGACAGTAAAGAGGTGCTGTTTGTAATGCAGAGTAGCTGAGTTGTACAGCTGTCAAACTGGGCCTTAAAATTCCTCTTGTAATATATGTGCTTCCCTTCTAGTCTGTTCTTTTTAATTGTAATAAGTCAATTGTTGGGAAGGGGATAGAGAGGTGGAGGGAGGGGGAGAGAGGTCAGGGGAAGGAGATGATAAAGAAGAACTGGAAGAAAGGGAGATAGAGCCTTTGCACATGGGAGGTGGCCCAGGACACAGAAGGAGCATGGGGGGCTACAATTAAAATGTGCTATGTATGTGCACCAACACCATGCCATAAATGCAATCCTTAGGCACTGCAAACATGTACCGACAAAAGTAAAAATAAAAAAAGAAGCAGTTTCTTAACTAAGCAAGATGCTCTGTAATTATAAAATGAAATTTAAAACTCTGAAAAAAATAAGTCAATTGTTAAGAGACACAGTGCTGTTTTCCATAAGTTTTGGTTTGGACTTGGTAGTGAAAGTTTCACCAGAACTGTGGAAATACTAGGCTGTGGCTCAGCGTTTCTACTATGTGATAATGGAAGTAAAGCGCGCATCCTTGCCTTGTTCTTGAATTTAGAGGAAAAGTTTGTAGCTGAGTAGTTGAGTGTGATGTTCTCTGCAGACTTGTCGGATGTGGTCTCCATACATTCATTTATGTATACATTCATAATGTATTCATTAGTATGTGGTCTTCATACATTCATCTGATTTGTTGAGAATTA